GAGAGTGATGGAGTAGAGAGCTATGTTGAATGTGACTAGGTGATCAGGTGACTAGGAAAGGCCACTAAGGAAGACCATTCCAGGCTGAAGTATTTCTGGGGGAATTAATTGCCAGACATGGGAACAAAACTGAGGCATATGAGAAATAGCCAGAAAGCCTGTGTAGCCCAAGCACATTAGGCAGGGTACAAATGAAAGGAAATGAGGACAGAGAAGAAACCAAGGACCAGATTATCAGGGCCATACTGTCCAGCGCAAGGACTTCAGATTTTGTTCTAAGTGGGATGGAAAGCCACAGGAAGGTTTTAAGCAGGAGAGTGACAAATATGATTTACTTTAAAAGGCTCACAGTCACACAGGAAGGAGACTATCGAAGAAAAACACTGGAAGCTGGGAAAATTGTTATAAGACAGGTTTAATACTACAGGTGAGAGATAATGGTGGCATGGGCTATAGGGGATGAGGATGGAAGAGGTGCTAATAGTTAGATTCAGAGTATATTTTCAAGATAATTCAGGATTTGTCGATAGAGTGAATATAGTGTGCAAGATAGAAAAAAGAGTCAAGGATACCAAATTGAACTGTACAACCGTGTAATTGTGGTGCCATTTACTGAGATGACAAACCAGCAGGAGGCATAAGTTTGGCAGGGAGCAGGGTTGAATCAAGAGTTCAGTTTTGTACATGTTAAAATTTGAGATGCCTATTTGACATCCAGGTGGAGATGCTGAATATGCAATTGGATAAGCAAGTGTGGAGTTCAGGGAGAGGTTAAGACTAGAGATATAAAATTGAGTGTCATTAGCATTTAAATGGTATTGAAAGCCAGAAGACTGAATATAATCATAATTACTGCAGCACCTGCTTCTCAATTTACAGATTCATCTTTACTGGTGGGGGAGAAAGCAGGGAGCTATTTTCATATCTTTCTACTCTGCCTTTCCCTTCTCCATCCGCATTTGGCTTCAGGCGGTCATTGTCTGCGCTCCTAGACATGACTTTGACTCTTCTGCATCTCATAACATTTGGGCTGGTGCTGCTGGACTGATGCACACTGAAGCACACTCTTCAGTCATCTGCTGAGGCCGAGTCCTCCCACTGGAGCTTGGCTGCTTCGTCCATGGATTTATGTTTAGTCTAGCATATATCACCAGTTCTAAAATACACATTTTTTCACATTGTGACCGTTCTGAAATTGGTATATCTCACCATTACATAAGCCCAATGGCTGTTGATATTACCTGAACATGTGCAATATTCAAAGTACCACAATCAAACATGTAGAATCAGTGTCAGCATATTGGAGGTAATAGTAGAGCATTTTTTTTATCTCCTAAGAAGTAGAGTTGTAGGGAGACAAAGTCAACAATATTCCTAAAGCAAGAGATAAAAGAAGATCAGCTCTCTAGGTCAAGTGGATGAGTTTCTAAATTTAAGCCTGCGCTCCTTGTTGCCAATTCAGTTTTAACTCCTTAAAAGGCTTCTGTAGGGGCAGTCGATAAGGAAACTATTCTCAGCTGTTTCTAATTCGCTAGGTTGCCTTGAGGCAATCTTTCTCTACATTGCTTTCCTTAAATAGATATAGGTTTCGGAGTAATTACAACAGTATTCATAAAATGAATCTGCTCTTCAAAAGTTAGAGGATGTGCTCATTTTAATAGAAAAAACAGAAAGTAAAACACTTCTGATTATAACTACGTACAAATGCATGTTTATATAGTAATGAGGTTCCGCAATGAATTTTGAGTAATACCAACAATACTCTTTATTGAATTTTTTACATAACACTCCCATAGAAACTCCTGACTGACTTCCACCTTAACCATACAGCAACTAATAAGTTCATTCTTCCCTCTGTAAATTATTCTGCAGTGTACCCATACACACTGCATGCCAGTAGACTGCTCTCTATGTATAAGCACTTTCGATGTCATCTTCTCAAGATCAAGCAGACAAAAAATATCAGTAAAGAAGTTTGAACTTCACAATCAATTGCCTTAAACTAATGGAACTATAGAGAACATTTTACTCAATAATTGATAAATACACATTCTTTTCAAGTACACTTAGATCATTTACTCAAACTGTAAGTAGAACATAAAGCAAATCTCAAATAATTTTCAAGGGTTGGAATCATATAGATCTCACTCTCTCGCCACTTGTCATTAAGTTAGAAATCAATAACTGAAAAATAATTTTTAGAAATTAAGAGAACCACTTCTAAATAATTTGTGGATCCAAAGAAAAAATAATAATGGAAATTAGAGAATACTTAAAACTAAATGATAATACTATATAAAAATTATTGTATTATTGTTCTAAATAGTTTCTGCTCTACCTTGTGAAATAATTATATATTCCAGCATATTTTCATGATCTTACAGTGCCCAACCTGTGAGAAGATTTATATTTTCCAAGCACTGACATGCTTGCCATGTGACTTGGTTGGGCCATGAAATATAAGTGGGGTGATATGTGCCACTTCTGAATGTGGTAGCAAGAATTTCAACCTAATTTCTGTGGTTTGCCACAACAAAAACCTATTTCCTTTAGGTTAACTCTAAACTGACTATAATTCTGCTCCAATCTAAGGTCCAGGCTGAAGAAGTAGTTATCTGTGCTATGCTAACATGACAGAAGGAATAAAGCTGTGACTCTTAAAGACTCCTGCTCAAAAGGGGCACAGCTCCAGCTAACTAATACAAATGCCTATCGAAATTGGTGAGTTAAAAGTAAAACTTCTCTCTAAGGGAAATTTATAGACTTTATAGACTTATGTGCTTATATTAGAAGAGGGAAACTGAAAATTAATGAGATAGGTATCAAACTTAAGAAGTTAGAAAACAAAAATGCTATGAACCCAAAGAAAGTAGAAGGAAAGAAATAAATTAATGAAAGAAAACAAGAGTCAAGATGGCAGAGTAGGCAAAAGCTGTGCTTGCCTCCTCTCACAATAACATCAAAATTACAATGAAACTACAGAATAGCCATCATTAGGAGTCGCCTGAAGTCTTGCTGAACAGAAGTCCTACAACTGGGGACACACAGTTGAGACTGGTAGGAGGGATGGAGACATGAAATGGGCTTGTCCCACACCTGCGTGTGGCAGTTGAGAATTGGGAGATATGTCTCAGTTTCAGAAGTCGCCTCGAAAGAGCAAGGGGTCCTAGCCCCATACCAGGCTTCCCAGCCCAGGGTTCCAGTGCCAGAAGGAGAAATCCCCACAACTTCTGGCTGTGAAAACCGGCAGAGATTGTGGTTAAGCGAGACAGAGGGCTGAGGAAGTGGAAGACTTTCCTTTAAGGGCCCCACGTGTGGACTTACTTGGTGATGGACTCACTCACTCTGAGCTCCAGTTCTGGGGCGGCAGCTTGAAGGTGTCAGGGACATATGGAGAGATACTGAGTTGTCTGGCTCCAGGACAAGGGGTAGAGGGGCAGCTCTCTCCCAAATAGAAGTGCTGGCAGAGAGCTTTGTTCCTTTGTTGAGCCCTTCCCTGCCTGGCTTGCAGACGCAGGCAGGCACCATCTCTGAGTCTCCATCAACATTCCTTACACTGGTTGCTTAGCCCTGGTGCTTCCCTGAGACTCCACCCCTCCCAACATGCAGGCCCAGCCCAAGCTACTTCCAATGGACTTTCCATACAAATAGTCTGTCTTGGCTCATACTGAGGACTTTCCTAAAATCTCTCAAAGGTACCCAAAACCTAAATGAGCAGCATCTTGCCTTGGAGTGCCCCATATCTCTTGCTTAGCAGCCTCACATCTGGCACTAGCAGCAGCTGGCCTCAGTTTGCAGCTCGGCCTCTCGAGGCAGTTACAAGCCAGTGTGGGTGACAGTCATCTGAAGATTGCTTGGTGGCTCATGTCAAGTGACCCCAAGCAGGGAACAGGCTGCAGCTGAACTTGGCCTGCAGCAGGCCCTCTCCCAGGAAACCCCAGCCTGCATACCCAGTGGCCGGCTCTGTCTGAGCCAGAACAACACCTGGGGTCATATCTGAGATACATATCATATTAAAACTGCCAAACACCAAAAATATAGAAAAAGATAACATAAGCAGCCAGGCTGGAGGAAAGGAGGCATGCTTTTGTTTGCATGAGAGAAGTTGCATTATTTTAAGTAGGAGAATGGTCTTACTGCTGTTGCTGTTATTTGGAAGAATGGCTAGAGTTGTGGATACAAATGTTGAGTACCAAAAAGGTGGACCATAGTGGACAGAGAAGATTGGAACTGAAGAATCTGTTCCGAACCTCCTTTTTGATTACCTTTTTACTATAACTACACCTTTCCAGATTTTCGGGCAGCTAGGATTCTAAATGCAAATTGGATTTCACCAACCAAATGCATATGCTAAGTTTTTTCTGCAGCAGTGTTTCGGTGTTCGGCCACTTGCTTTAGAGGTGTCAAGAGGCTTAGTTGTGGAGGTAGTGACAGTGGCAGCAGGTTCCTGATCTCTGAATAACTACTTCAACAGGGTATCCATGAAGTCAAAAGTCCAAGGAGGCCTCCTTTCCTAGTTGGAGCAGGTCAGTGTTTATTGTGGAATCTTTCCTAGAAATCCGTCATAGATCCCTGACCCTCTAATTACTTAGTAGACATCTAATTTCTTTCATTCAATCCTTTTTTGTTTAATGTTTTCTGATTCTTAGAAATCTGGTTGATAAGCTAAAAATTCCAAAATTCTGTATCTTCTTTCAGATTAACCTCATTTTAAAGAAGTTTTTGAAATGTTTAGTCAGGACTTTTCCCACTGGGTGAGAAATTTAGTTTAGTAAATAATTAACCTTTTCAGTTATTCTTGGTTAGTCTGAGCATTCATGCATGCTACAAAATGTGGTCAAAAGAAGTTATTTCATTTGTTAAGAAAAATAACTCTCTCTGAGCTTCAATACATTGTTATCCATTGTGCAATAATGATCACTACTATTCTCTGATAGTTTTTAAATGATTGGACACAAAAGTCATAGTACTGCAATCTGATGTTCAGAAATGTTAGGATTTTCAATATTTTTATTTTCCAAACATTATTTTGAAATAACATTAAAAGCATCAGTTATACAAATCTGGCCTAATGGTTAACATCAGAACAATTATAAAATGTTTGACATACACATGTATTTTGCATCACAGTAAAGCCTCAAGAGAACTAATATACCCTGCTAATTAGTCATATTCAACTGAATTCTCATTACTTGAAGTTCTCATTTTAGCCCTTATGAAGAGAGAATTTATATATGTCTATCTATATCTACACATAGATACAGATATGGAGGAGGGCTAAGAATCTAGCCCACTACATCTTTCATGCAAGGTAAATCAATAATTTCTTGATGAATGAGTTTTAAGAGACTGAATACCTCATATGCACATGCTTAGTTTTCTTTATGGTATGATTTTCACCACCCAAAGTTGGGTCAAGTCATCTCAAAGGTCACACAGGAAACCTGTCATTTTTAGTGGAAATTACTTTTAAAAAAATCATTTATTGAATCACATTTGAAATGCCTGGCCAGAAAAGAGACACACACTTTAAAAAGTATGAAATATCTCCTTGATTAATGCTATTAATTATAAAGCTGTTTGGTTTATTGGAATAAACACCAAGTTTTGAATTTAGACAAAAGTCTGATTCCTAAATTGCCACAATATTTCAAATGATCTTGGGAGAGGATATATATTTTAATTCTTTGTTACAAAGAGGCGATATACTAACCTATCTCATGGGAGTATTAATAAATGAAAACACTGTTATATTAAAAATATCAAAGTACAATTAAAACAGGTCATAGTGACTTCTAGATATAGCATTCGATTACAAAAAAAAATGTGAGTGGATATTTTCTCTTCTATTATAAAATTTATAGCAAAAATAAAGGGAGATAAGGAGAAAGTCTTAAAAGGTGAATTTAAAAACAAAATGAAACTCATATGTCATAGTTTAATCTCAGAAATAGAAATGACTGGTTTATACGGAAAGGTAACAATTGTAAAATGAGGCTGAGCAGAGTAATAGCTGAGTATCTTCTTTGTCTTCTCCATGCCTCTCATGACCTCTGCACTTGGGAACAGCTTGAGAGAGAGAGGGTGCTATAAATTGAATACCTTTTACCTAAAGGAACAAAGTGCCTTCCAGTCTACAATAACTATTCTTGAATAGAACTTATAAAGATAGGTTTTATATCTTGATGCTCATCTTGTGTCTAGCGGTTACAGTTCAAAAAATGTAACAAGTTCAAATGCTGTTTGATGAAAATACTTTTACATAAAAATTGAGTTTACAGTTGTTAGGCTAGGGATCACAGAACATATAATAAAATTAGTTTTCAGTATAGAAATATTTAATCTATTTTTCCTTACTGCTCATCTCCAGTTTAAGATTAATGGGAGAGAACACAATTAGGTTGAAAATAGATCATCAGAAGAATTTTTTTACCATATAACCTATGGTAGAAACATATAAATGAAGAAAATAAATGTTTCAAAAAAGTTACTTGCATACTTTTTGTCAAGTTATTAACAAACCATTCTCACGCAGAAGGAAAGCATAAATCCAAACACTCACAATCTCATTCTTATGTGTTCTTAAGCAATAATAAAGATCATCTGACACATAACAGTCTAGCTTGCTTCCCACATAACAACACCCTGACTGAGATGACCACATTTTAGTGCCGACCCTCCCAGGAATAGCTCACTTCTACCAGAGGTGCAGTCCTCTTCACTAGGGTTCTTGGGTAAGATCTTTCCAAAACAGAGTAATTCACTTTAATCAAGCAAAAACATCTTTTAAAAAGAACTATATACTCAATTGACACAAAATAATAATGTCTATAATAAGAAATGGAAATCATCTTAACACTATATTCTTGGCTGACTGTCTTATAAAAGGGAAGTATTGAATGCCTGTGTATTTTTTATAAGAATAGTTATAGATAATATATTTCTTATTTTCTGCTTTAACAATATATTATTTATTGAAATAAGCCTGTTACGAAAAAAGTGTACGTTTCCCCATTTCAATACTTCAAAGAATCAAAACTTATAATTCAATCAATAAAAATAACACCTCAGTAAAGATCATACCTTCACATTCTTTAAAAAAATCTAACTAATATATACTTTGAAGACCCATAGCGCTGACTCAAATGATCATAATCAGTTCTTCCTTTACTTTAACACAGTAGCATGATCCTTCCTGGGCATCTATTTAAAAGTTTAGTACAAAAGACTGGACCACAGGTCAGGGTAAAAATCTAAATAATAAACTATTACATCAAATCTTAAAATGTCAATAAATCACAAATCAAACAATAGATGCTAATACTTTAGACAAAAGAAAATCAAAACCACCAACTGTTTAGCTGAATCTTTAAGTTTTGATCTACTACTGGTCTCACGAAGTAAAAAAAGAAATCAATTAGTATCAGAAACAAAAACAGTTTACACAAGATTCTCCAGCCTCCAGGACTCTAAACAGAGGGGACTGGAATCTGCTTGGCTGAAGCGCTGTCATATTCTTGCATTAAATCATTAGTGGTGTGATAATGCATGGCGATATATGAAGTGGCAAATCCTTTAAAAGAGTTTACTGGCTGTAAGTTACGTGGGATGCTCTCTTCTTGGGATGGGCTGCTGTTATAGATGCTGTAGTATGGTTCGATCCGAGTATTGATGGGGGTTGAGCTGCTCTGACCATAGAGTTGATGTCCGGCAGAGATCTTGGGACTGACTACACTTTCCTTCGAATGACTTGGGCCACAAGCCTGGTCCACAAATTTTTTCTGGGGCTTTGGAGACAACATGTAGGCAGAGTTTGTTTCATGGTGGGATGATTTGTTTCTATTAACTTCGAGGTTTCCTTTTCCCATGGCTCGAAGTCGAGTCTTCTGTTGGCAGCAGAAAAAAACCAGGCCTATGTATTGGAGGCACCAGAGCACTTTCCTTCTCAGTCCTGCACTGTTCCGAGAATATATAAAAGGGTTTAATCCTGACTTGAAAAATATAAGGGTAAATCCGAACAGTTCAAACTGATAAAGGATGAAGCTCCCATTGCTGGACAGAACCACCTGCACCAAGGAAATCCCCAGTGGAAGACAGCACACCAGGACTGACAGCACAATGACCACGCAAGTGACCACTGCTTTGGAATCCTTAGCCGTGGAAAGATTGACAGCTGACACCAGCTGGAGCCGGCTGGCTGCAGGGTTTGGCAGCTGGTTGGGACTCTTGGTGTATCCATGGGTCTGAACATGCTGCAGTTTGTTGTAATTCTGGTTCCTGTATAGAGCTGGCATGGTGCACTGGATGGGATCTCCACCTCCCTTCACAGGTGCCCCCATGAAAGGCTGTGGTCTGGAAGCATCGACTGTGATTATAGGGGGGCACTTTCTGACTTGAGCATTTTTCCGCAAGGTCTGAGCAATCATGATGTAAGAGACAGAGACCACAGCAACACAGAAGGTGAAGTCGACCACATAGAGAGACAGCACGGCTTTCCCTTCTCCAGCAATCAGACTGGACATGGGGAGGCAGAGGTGGGACTTGCTGGTTTTCAACGTGGCCAGGGTGGCGAGGGTGAAACTGGTGGTCCAGAGAAGCAGAGTGAGGAGCAAGGTGCAGGGAAAGGAGGCTGTGCGATTAGGCTGCTTCCCCAGCACCATGCGGAGCCGGTGCAGGGCAATCACTGCCACTGTCTTGAGGGACATGATGATGAAGCCGGAGCTGGTGAGATGGAAGGTGAAGCAGAAAGCATCCGGTATGCTACTGACTGAGCTAAAAAATAACACAAAGGTGAACATGGGGGCCGTCACTCCACAGATGAAGAGGTCACAGAAGGAAAGGTTCAGAACCATGAAATCAAAGTTGGTTCTGAATTTCCTGAAGGCTGGATCAAAGAAGGACAAGAAGACAATGAAGTTGCCATAAGAGCCCAGGCAGAAGACGATTGCGAGTAGAAAAGTACAGGTCACCAGAGTGGCTGTGTGAATGAAACCCTGGAGGTCCTCCTGGAGAGCAGTGCTGTTTCCTTGCTGGGAGTGAGGCACGTGGAGCAAAGAGGTGTTGGGAGCATCCTGGAAGTGGTCCGTTGAGTTCATCTTCAGAGAGAAAGGACACTTCCTTCTCTGTGGGAAGGGAGTCAAGGCCTCAACTCACAGATGAGTGACGTGTGACAAAAGAGACCCAAGGCAAAAAGCCTGCACACGAAAATGCATACATGAAAACAAAAAAGAATTAATGTAAAAAACACAGTGACCTCATGATCTTTGACAAAAGCACTAGAATTTTTCACCTCTGACCCAGTGCACAGAAGGTATTTCTCTTTCCAAAGCCAAACACAGCAAAGACACAAACAGCTCAAAATACATTCATTCAGCTAATTTTAGGTTTTAAGACACAGTGATTTTCAAATTAGTTTAAGTATCACCTGGAAAGCAGGTTTAAAATGAAACAGATTCCTGGGCCTCACCCATAGAGATTCTTATTGAAGGGTGTGCAGATGTTACTTTTAGAAACACTGGTGCCAGACACTGGAGACATGAGAGCATAATCTCTCTGTTGGAGAGATCACAGTCTAGGTGGACATCAACCTAACTGCGTAATTATAGCTTAATGTGGTAAACCAGATGATAGCAGGGTGCTATGGAAGTAAGAGAGGGGGAACTTAATCCAAGCCACAGTGGAGGCTGAGAGAAGCTGAAGAAAGTTGTGGTGAGGAGGAGCTAGCCGGTGAGGGGCAGGGAGTGGGGGACAGACAGGCTGCGAGAGGCAAGCAGGTCTTTGCAGCAGGACTGAAGCAAGCAACTTCACGTGCTTAAAATACAAGCAGAGGGTGTTGCTGAAGTATACTGTGGCCCTTTACATAACCCTCACAAATCACTAAAAATCCTATTTCTTTCCTTAGGAAGAATCCTTTATTTTCCAGTATTTCTTCTCCCTGCTTGTGATTTCTTGGCCAACTCCATACCCTCCTTTGGAAAAAACTTTGTATAGGACAACACTGAGGGGAAAATGAAAGTAATGAAGGGTATTGGAGTTATATTTGAGATTTACAAGGTGCAAAGCACCACTCTAAATTCTAAACTGCTATATAAATGTGAGTTATCATTATTCCAACAAAAATATCCTCATGATGAAGCAAGAGGTATACACCCACTCATGCATTCACTCGCTCAGTTTACATTTATCATGTGCTTATACTATATGCCAGCTTCATGCTAGGCGCTGTGGGTAAAAAAGATGAGTAAAATACAGCTCTACTTTTAAAGAATAAAATGTTTGTCTTCTGGGTCCTTTATTTTCTTAACCTTTTCCCACCCCCTATTTTGCAACAAGATTTAAAGTACACTCACACAAATCTTCTATTATTCCAAATCCCAAACCCCCGAGTGGCCTGGTGCCCACCCAGGTCCTGAAGATGCTTCCAAGAGAAAAAGCCTAAGTCGTTCCTTGGAGACAGGTACAATGCTCTTGACAACCGAAAAGTATTTGCTTTAATCCAGCATTTCAGGAATAACCAATGGCACTGGGAAAGTCCAGGGGTGATGTTCAGAATATATAACCACTCGCTCAAGCTGGGTCCCAGAGGCCTCCAGCTGTGCTGGAGGTTAACCCTGTGCCAGAGGGATACAGAGGAAGAAGCCAGGTCAGTGAGGGATTTCTGGGGGCTCCAAGCAGCAGCTATGGACTACCCAACACAGAAGCCTCTCAGCATTCAATAACAAGTATGGTATACATGCTAGTGAGTATCAGAACAAATTTCAGTCCTGGGGAGATCCATACAACTAACTGCTGTCCTTCAGAAAGATAGAAGATAACCACTTCTATGTTCTCAGTGGACACATAGTGAAGATCACAACAATATCCAATGAATTTCTCCACTGGAAAGTGAGACCAACTTTTCTGCACTTTTTTTTTTTTTTATTAAAATAAAAGTTCTGTGAAAGAGGAAATACAACTCCTGACCTTTTGTTTCTTAATGGTCGGAATTTTAAAAAATGTAATAATGGATAGCTTATTGTTTTCACTTAAGATCATATCCTGTTTCTGAACCCTTTTTGATACCTATATAGTGAAAAAGACAACTTTTTACTGTTTTTGTTAGTTTGTGAATTGGAGGATTGGGGCTAACTGGTGAAAAGAGAAGTAGAAGAGAAAGGCCAATATGAGGAGACAGGAAGAACGGAGAGGTGATACTATTGTTTATAGCAAACCCCCTCTTCCCCAGGAGTTTCCTCTTTGGAAAAAGGCAAATGAACAGGGTTGAAAAAAGAAGCAGGAATTTGGTTTGTGGAAATTACAAGGATGAAGAGTCTGGAATTAGGATGCTAAGAGAAATAGCAAGTAAGTGAGTAATAATGAAGTGGGGCGATGGAAGTTATGAAGACTCCAGGCTAGGAGATGTTTAGAAGGGAGTTGTCAAGGGTAAGAGGCAGGAGGAAAAAATATTTAGAAGAGTTGAGAGCAAATGTCACTATTTGCATAGTTATAATTTTTGCAATAAATTTAAATTGTTTTCAATAGATTAAAAAAAAAAAAAAAGGAAAGTCTAGGTTAGGAAGATAATTATCAGTATCATTTATTGAGTGCTTATGTTGTGCCAGGCACTGTTCTCAGTGATCCATGCTATTAACTTATCGAATCCTCTTAACAGCCCTGAGAAGGTTAGTATAACTTATCTCTATTTTACAGATGAGGAAACTGAGTCAGAGAGAGCACCTAATTTAAAGTGGTAGAGCATGAATTTGAACCAAAGCCATGACTCTCTAAAGCTGGCATTCTTAAACATCATGCTAAACAGAAGAGCAAAGAAATCAAAGGGGTAAAGGGGTCACCAGGTTAGAAAAGAGTTACAGCTGTAATTTATTGGGTGGTTATTACATGGCACTTAGACTAGGAGCTTTACATAAACTATTAAACTTTATTTCATTCTCAATAAAATCCTATGAAGTGTAGGTATTGTAATCTCTTCTCAACTCAAAGTTCTTGGAACCCAACATTTGAATACACACACACACACACACACACACACACACACACACTTCTGTGTACTTTTTTGTCAAGGTTGGTGATTATGGTTCTGGTATGAAGTAATTATAATCATTCCTATTGGGATAATTAGGGGGAAAGTTAGGAATCAGAAGCTGAGAAGAGAAAAGGGAGAAAAAGCCAAAGACAGAAGTACAGGCTTTGGCAGAGAAACTTGAGGAGCAGTAAAGGAAATGGAGGGAAAGTAAACTCAGGTCTTAGTTTTAATTTTGGGACTATAATAAAGAGGAGGCTGAGATCACTATTTGGAACCAAGTTATGAAGGCAGAACTATAAAACTCAGTGATTTGAGGGAGGGGAATAAATGAATACTTATTTGCTACACCTAAATGTTAAACGAAGGTTACCAAGGGTTCTTTTCAATGCAAACATACAAGCTACTCTTTATCTTGGGACTATCAATAGGTCCTGGAGAGAGATGTGATTAAAGTCATAAAACCAGACAAATTTTAAGTTGGAACACAAGTCTTAAGAAGGCATATTCAATAGCACATATTGAATTCGTATCATACTCATCTTGTTACAACTGAGGAGGAGTGATCCTAAAGTAACTAGTAAGCAAGGAACGGTAAATGAAGATTTAGTGTAGTGGCAATGACTTCTCATTAAGATGCGTAAAGAGTCTCTGATAATTTAGTGTGCTGTGTTCATATTTCAGTGCATATTAAAACATTTTAGATGAGCTTTCACAAGTCAACTCATGACCTAGATTCTTCCCATTTTTTTTTTTTTTTTCTCATAATGCCTTAAATTCCTCGAGGGCAGGCATTTTCAGAGTCTAACCCTCACAGAGAGAAAGATTTGTAGTATTACTATTCCCACTGGATTTGTATTGACCTGGGAAACCCCGGAGAAGTTAGATGACTTGCCCAAGGTCACTAAGATTCAAACTAGATTTATCTGATTTCAGAGCGCAAGTTCTTTGTCCATAGTTGAACTACCTCTTGAAGCCTGGAGCAGCTGATCGGGTATGGTAGAGTCTGTGCATGAGGGAGATGGGGAGGCTGGGGAGCCCCGCTCCCATCCCCAGTGTGGGGATGGGATGGGGATGGAGATCGACCCCTGCTAGGGGCTAGCGATGGGTAGGCGCTCCCTGGGATGGGGAAGGTTATGGTAAGGAGGGCCTAGGCCAAGCCAGGGAGGCTTGTAACAGAGTGTCGGTGGAGTGAGGAGGGCTCCGCCAGGCCATGGGTAGTGGAGGAAGGGTTCCACAGCCCGGTGGCGCCCCGGAGCGGGCCGAGAAGGGGCGAAATGGCTGCCCCGCAGGCCGCGCCAGGAGCGCAGGTGCGCGGCGGCCCGGCCTGGACCAGCGCAGCGCGCTCCTCGCTCGCCTGCCAGCGTCCCGCTGCCTGGCCCTCCCCGCTCCTCGGGGTCGCCTCCTCTGGGGGCCCGCGGCCTCTCACCTGCCCGGTGGCCGCAGCGGCGCCCCGCGGGAGCCGCGGGGGGCGCCGCCCCCTCCTCCGGACACTCAGGCCCCGCGTCCCGCCTGCCTGTCGCACCTTCGCCGCCCCGCGGGCCTCCGCGTGCCCTGCGGCCGGCCGGTCCCGCCGCGCGAGGCTCCTCGGGCTCGCGGATCGGCAGTTCTGGGCGTCCTGGCTCCGAGGTAGGCGAGAGCTGACAGGAAGAGGGGCGAGCGGACTGGGCAGAAAGGAGGCGAAGGGTGGGGGCAGCGATGGCACACAACGACCCGCGGCCTCAGAGGCATGGCACCCCGTGCAATGGGCGGGGTGGCGGCCCCACGTCTGCCTCAGCCTGGCCCGCCGCCCACCCGCCCGCGTTCCCGGTGCTTCCCAAACGGCGCGCCACGCTCCACTCGCCTGTAGCTAATACGTTTTCTCCTAGATGATGAACTGGCGTCGTCGTCCAGTTTGGTACTTTGAGCCATAGTAAATAATAACGTAAAATTATAATAATATAATAATGTAAATCAAACTAACTTTACCTTAATGTAAAATAAATTGAATTACATTTTTCCCCTTCCCTCAGCTCTCTGAAAATATTTACTGAGAATTTAGCAAGGAAACAAATGCAAAGTAAACAGAAACTACCCATGTGAATAAGAGTCAAGAAATCATCATTAATGTTAAATACAAAAAATCTTTAACCACGATGGTGTTATGCAGGTAGCCAAGTTTTCGTAAGCAAGAATACAAAAAAACGGCCATTCTTCTAAAATCCACATGTCCAAAATAATGAATTCATAAAATGTATTTTAGTCTCAGAACCATCAAGTAACATTCCTAAGTAAGTTCGCTATTCTGGGTAATTAAGGTCTTATTATTCTAACCTTCTTATGAGGTATTATTTAGAAATGAGGGAATGCTGAGTGCCCTTTCCTTCACCTTGGTGCCAGAAAGCCAGAAAATTGTTCTACTGAAATACTTAGAATATTGCTATTGAAATCCTATTATGGCTAAGTTTTCCTTTTTAAACACAACTGTTAGTACCAATAAGTACCAAAAAATGACTTATGAATATAACTTACCTTTCCCAGTTACCCCATGCTTTCACCAAGAGAAAAATAAGAGGGCTGGATAATTTATGAAGTAAACATTCAGTCCAGGAGTTGACAACGCTCTCAGAATTGTTTAGATATAACTCCAAGAAAATTTTCCAGTTTATTCCCACATAATACTCCATTCCCAACCACTTGCAATACACCAGTTCTAATCTATGTTGTCAGTAATGCTGGCTTTGGGCTCTAGAAATAATCAACAGAAAAATGTTATTATTGAGAGTGGAAACTCAAAAGTTATATCTCCTTCCATATTAATTAGCTATTGTTTAAGTAATTGCCAGCTCATTTCCAAGCATTTGGCCATAACGGAAGATTACACTAGGTTTGGGCTAGAATGCAGCAGTTACACCTATGGGAGAAATGATCTCATCCTAGAGAATACAAAACAAAAAGCCACGACCCAATTCACAGGTTGTAAAGGATTCTAGAGATTTAGAAAACATCAGGAACCATTGAGGTTCCAGAACGTTAACTACCATCAGCAAGCCTAAAGCTACTATAATCATGTTTACAAAATGTACCAGCCAAATGTGCCAAATTGAAAGAACACTGGTTTAGTAGTCAAACAATGGAATAAACTGCAAAACAAAAATACAAAAACCAAGCAGGACTGGCTGGCTATGTTAAAATATGAATGGGCTATCAATTTGCAGGGAAACCAGCATTCTGATACGCACTACCATTGGAAATGCAAATTGATACACGTGCACTTTTGAGGAAAACATTTATCGGAGCCATTAAAATGTTTAGATTCTTGACCCAAAAATCTCACTCCTTGGAATCTACCCTAAGGAAATACTTGAAGGAAAAAATTTTAAGCATGAAGGTATGAAAATGTTCATTGCAGTATAATTTGTAGCAGCGAAATCTGAAAACCACCTTGATGTTCAACAATGGAATGCTCACACAATTGTATTATCAAGAGACATGGTCTTTGTGCACAAAATAACTATGAAGATGATGTAGAATAATTTTTTCAGTAAAATAAAATTCCTCAGTAGTCCTTTCTGGCCACAGTACTAATTACAAAATTGGCCTGTAACCTTAAGGGCTTGGCAATGCCTTTTTGAATATTTGAGAACAGCTTTCTCATCCTGTTTATATTTTGGGGAGATGGGGGGACCAAAACTTAACATTCATTCATATTAATAGGTAGGTAAATTTTCCTCCTAAATTTTGAAACATACTTTGCAGTCTGTTTAAAGGGTCCAATTCAGAAACTAAAGATTAGCTCTTACCTCAAAGACACAGGCTTTCTCCTCACTTCTCACTACTCATCTCCCTCCATCCAGAAAACTACCTTGACTCAGTGGGAGAACTTCTAAACACTGGCTTGCCTTCATCCTCCCTCCCCCCAAACCTTATTGCCTTCCTTAACACGGTTCCTGCTCTGTCCTTCTCCATTCTTTTTAATGTAACATATACTTAAGAACTACCTTAGACAATAGTAGCCATCCACCCCTTTCCTCTCCCCTTTCACTGAAGCTACTGGTAGAAAATTTAGGGAATTAAATAATTCACAGTATAATCAGATTGGGGTATTAAGGTAATAAGCAACTTTCAAACTTATTATAAGAATCACATGGGGCACATAATTAGAAACTCAGATTTGTACCATTTTTAGGTTTCTAGTGGGCCTTGGTCTTCTAAGTGGTTCTTAATCCTGGCTGCAACAATGAAGCATTATGGAGCTTTTAGATGATGAAGAACCCCGACCAGATAAATTCTGATTGAGGAACATAGTGGGTCCAATATCTTATATTTTTTAAAGTTCTACTTTTGGAACTTTGCTAAGGCATAGCTTCATACAGCTTAGATAGACCTGAAGTGGTCAATATAAAGCCTCACCATTCAAAGGGTAGTCTCAGGATGAGGCATCAATATCATGAGCTGGGAACATGAATTAAAATTCATTTTTAACCCCTCATGTGATTCTGTCACATTGATTTGAGAAACAATCACCTAGATCAGTGCTGAACAAAAGAACTTTCTGATGAAAACATTGATCTGTGCTACTCAGGAGGGTAAACCACTAGCCACAAGTGGCAAAAAAGCACTTGAAATGTGACTAGTGGGACTGAGGAAATTTTTAATTTGATTTAGATGTAAAGTCACATGTGGTTATTAGCTACTGTACTAGACAGGTCTGATCTAGATAATTCATTTTAGTCAGGGGGCATCCAGATCTATGGATGCAAAAGGAATAGATGAGAGTTACTGCCTACAGAATTGTTCTCTCCTCTTTAATGAAGACAAAAGCCGGGTGTTAAAAACAATCCATTTATTGGGTTTTAAACTAGTTACACAAAGAAATAATCAGTTTGGCACTACTCTATACAGGGATGATGCCTGTGTATGCTGACACTTAAATACTGTACCAGGACCTCTGCTGTGCTTAGGTCTGTATTGAGTCATTCAGCCAGTAGATATTAAAATATATACTGTAGTGTTCCTTTAAGGAAGACTGTACAGAGTGTGTTGCAAGATGATATTCACCAACTTGTGAATTACTTTAACCTAGAAGGTACCTTGCATTCTACAAACTTGTCATAGGCAAACATGTGGCTTTTGCATTCAGAGATGCACGCAAAAAGTTACATAAAAATTCAGACATTGTAACATTAAATGAATTCAAACAAAACCCCACACCTCAGCTTTTGTAACATGAAAATAATTTAAAAACAAAAATGGCATTCAATTGGTACAAAAGCCAAAAATCACCATAATAAAGAGCTACATGTGAATCTTTACAAATTAATTACACAATGGTGTTGTGTAAAAGGTTGCATCTGTACAAAGTCTTGCCAATGCTATCTCTACAGTTTATACAATCTTTTACATCTATATAACATTTATTAAACAAGTCAATTAAATATCAAGACTTAGTCTCTCAACGATTCTGCAGGCAAAGAAAGAAAAAATAAAATAAAAAGGAAAAGAAAAAGAAAAAAAAAAACTTACAGAATTTCCATAACACAGCAGTCTTCCATTAGGTGAAGTCTAACAGTTTTCAAAGAGGATCAAACAATATTTGTAAAGAATACAGGGAAAAATCAACCAGTCAGGGTTTTTATTGTTGTTGCTGTTTATTTTCAAAATCACACATTGTATACACACACAACAATCAATCAAAAATTTATTCACTAAACCCCCAGTTTTTCACAAACTGCTCTTTTATTCAGCACCAAAAACTCCAGTCTGCGGCAAGCACATGGACACAGACTTCACTTCTGTGTCTTGATCGAGTAATCCATCAGGTCCTTGGTTAGGTTTCAGGCTTGTCATCTTTTCCCTCCATCTTCATGGCTCTCCAGGTTTCAGAGTTATGACCCACAGCCCTACTACCATCTAAACCCAACAGCCATTTGGAAAGAATTCCAAATAATTTGAGGTGAATGAAATGACAGGACCTGTATTACAGATGGGTATTCTCCATTCCAAGTAAACTGTTTCTTAATGAGTTCCTAGACTCTGTCTGGTCTTGGATACCATGATCATATTGGGTAATTAATTCTAGTGTGAGACATTGTTGCTTTGTCAGATGACAAAGAAAAAGTGATCAATATTCTGGAAACAGTTCCGGACAAGTTAGGAGATCAAATGGCAGCTGAAAAACTGTGGAACGCAGACTAATGAAACCAAACACAGAAACCATCAAAATGATGAGAGCTCAACAGAGGCAGAGTTTTAAAACCTGCAGAGAGCCACCACAGACGGTACCTGAGGTTCTGGAATTTTTGATGAAAAGAGCTTGAAGTGAGGACTACTCATCTGTATCAGGGAGGAAAAAAATTTCAGTCAGGCAACAGGACAGTTAACTCTAAAAGCCCAATAAGTGAAATTTTCTTTATTCTTCCTATCCCAGTAGAAAGGCTTCTGGGTCCTCCATCTTTAATACACATTTGGTAATA